ATGTTAATTTTATTATTTTTATTTGCTTTGGCAACACTGATTGTACCCATCGGTCATGCTAATAAAGCACCTTGAATTGAATTGAATTGAATTAATCGGGACACTGTTTCACTTCAGCTGGATGCCGGCCGGTTCCAGATCTTACCACGTCTACAGGACGGAGCCCGTCCCCGGATCTGCTTAGGTTTCGCCGGGAGAGAGCCTGTCGCTTAGCCGGGAGGACATCCTCATCCATGCCGCCCTCGTCAGTTTGAGGCGAGCTGCCTGCGTTTCCCCTCATCGTCTCTGACATTTAAACAGTTCCATAATTCACACAAAGGAGCGATGCTTGTTGAGAGGGCAGTTTGTACTCTCTGGTGTAATCTGGTAGTAACGGGCAAAGTGTTATTTGGTGTACCTTACGATAAACTAATAAGACGGATTTAATATCCTAAGGAGATATGGAAAACATTTCAACTTCTATAATCACGCTTTTTAACGCTGATGCTGTAATCAAAGCCGTGTAATTTTTGTAATCGTTATAAAAAAAAAACATTACTTTCATTCAAACGCTATAATATTTCCTTCCACAGTCTTTTTGACTTTGTTTCCAAACAGTAATACAACACAACAACTAACTTCCGCCATTCATTTGCAGGAGCGCAGCCCCGTCCCCCGGCGCCGTCATTGGACAGCGTGAGGGCTTGTGCGCTTTCCTACTGGCCCTCACATCCGTCAGTCACGCCGTCGGAGACTGCAGCAGCAGCAGTGCGGGGTCACCTTCGGCGAAGTGTTCATATTTAGCTACACTGTTTAATATTGCATTTGTATGCCGGCATATATAACACCGGTCAAACTATTTATACGCTGTATCAGTGTGGTGACCCTAGGTACGTATGTTGCTCCTATTTTCCCACGGCTCCAGTTGATTCTGTTCACCTGTTCAATAATTCAGATCCAAATTCAACAGGCTTTATTGGCCTGACAGATGAATTACTGTGTTGCCAATGCAGATACAATTCACACAACATTTACAGTACGAACATGTTATTGGACAGCTGCATACATAAAATAAAACATTAAACGTTATTGAGAGGCAGGTTCGGTGGTCCACAGGCTGTGGCAGGAGATCACACTGCAGCTCTGTTGAGTTTCCTCCCCCAACAGGATTGGAAGTACAGATTGTAGCTCTGATTCTGTCAGGTTGGAATTCTGGGGTTTGATTAGGTATTTAAGGCAAGAATTTTAAATCCCAGAGTATTTATCATAGTGTATCAGAAAATGCATCAGTGTCTCTGCTTCTTCCTGTTGGCTGAGGGATAACAGCCTGTCCTCTCTGGATAGCCAGGTCTGCCTGTGTCCAGTTTCAATGGCCAGGTTGTGGTCACTTAGCCTGTACTTTGTCAGGTTCTGTTTCTCTTTGCTGTCTTTTACCCTGGTCAGATACACAGCTAGTGTCTTTCAGGTTTTATGTTGCGTGTGTCCCAGTGGGTAAGGTAGAGTTGTTTGGCTGACTTCGATTTGTGTTGTTTTAGCTGTGATGTCCTGATGTTGGCTGGTGTTAATGTGCTTCAGGACCAGCTGGCTGAGGGTCTCTTCTCTGGGCTCAGCAGGGTCTTGTGGCTGTAGGAATCCTGGTCACTTCCTCGGGTGTAGCCAATATTATATTGCTCTCTTCTGTATGCTGATTAATAATGGGTATTGCCATAATGCGGCCCTGCGCGCATTGTTAGGAATTTTTCTCTGCATATGGAGGATGTTTTACAGAACTCTGTGTACAAGGCTTCTATGGGGTGTGTATCCCACTTAGTGTAATCCTGGTGTGTGACTGAATCTCACATCACTTCCATAGACTGCTTAATAGAGCCACTGAAGAATTACAGAAACCGGCAAAATACTGCAACCTTTTTTCGATTGCTCAGAAATAGATGATTTTTTAAATATTAAAAGGTGCTGGAATGTGAATATGTAGCTCATAAACCAAATCATTTGCATTTAATTAATTAATGTTTTACACCTGACAATGAGTCAACTTCAAAATTTATACTAAAAATGTGGTCATGTGACAGTCTATTTAAAACTTAGTGAGGTTGGTGCGCCCCCTAGTGGCGAATGTGTCATGCACATGCAGGTCACACAAGGCTGTGGACTGGGGACAGTTCTCATAGACAAACTGCAGATGTAGACTCTACATTTATTTGCAAGTTGTCTACAGGTTACACGTGAAAAACAATAAGATACTTTCTTATAGTTTGCTGTAAATTATGCCCCAGTCTTAAGGTAAAATATAGACAAACTACCACTGTGGTCTTAAATATTAAAGTACAAACGTCTACAAACTTTAAAGAGAAATCTAGACAGTCCATTCCTGACTTTTACACTGGACAGTCCACTCCTGATTTGTCTGTGACACTGGACAGTCTATCTTCTCTTGCACTGGACTGTCCACTCCTGTTCTGTCTCTTGCACTGGACCGTCCACTCTTCTTCTGACTTGTGTACTTAATAGTTCACACCTGTTCTCTTACTCTGGATTGTCCACTTCTGTTCTGTCTCTTAATCTGGACAGTCCACTCCTGATGAACAGTCCATACCTGTGTTGTGTCATCGACCTGCTTCTGCTTTAACAAATTAATTATCCTTAATGTGAGAAATTAAAGGAAAATACCATTTGGTTATTTCTGAAAACACTTTATTGGTAGTGCTTCAATCAGTTCATTTCCCATATTTAAGTTATTCAGTAAGAGACACTGACAGACGACTAGATAAGTGGTACAAACTACATTAGACATTAGACATTTCTTGCAGACATCGGTACGGCCCACAGCTCTTCTTCTGAATGTAGAGACTGCTTACTCAGCTGGGCTCTGCAAAGACAGACACACAGTGTAGAATGAAGCCACTTGTTATTGTTCTGGCTTGATAGCTGATTGTTTCGGAAGCAAAAGACATTGTGTTTATCGTACAGTATGTGAGAAGCACTTCTGATAAGTCAGGGACCTCACCTGTTCCACTGTTTTACAGTAGGTATAATTCTGTGCAGTGCAATCGTCTGTGAAACGCTGCCTCAGTTCTAAATGCCAGTATCTCTCTTGCAGTTGCGGAGATGACTGGGCACCTAGAGGAAGTGTAGGAGCTGGCCCAGCGGTTGCTGGACACGCATCTGGCTTCAATTTGGAGTTTTACACAGCGACCCATTGAGGCCTGCACCAGAGCTGCACCTCGACGTGCCTGGCGTTCACACACACGGCTCAAATAATATTACAGTCACCCATTTATTTATCTGTCATTTGAAAAACAGTGACCTTCACATATTACACAATCATGCAAACAGAAGCAGAAACAAGTGTCTCAGCTTTAGCCAGGAAATCTCCTGCTCCTTCTGTGCAAAGTGTGTGTATTCACAGTCATGGCCACTTTCTTTGTTTTCCTTTTTTCACCAGGAAATTAGAGTGACACGAGAAAGCCCTTCCCTGGGACTGGCCCTTCACTGCTTTGTGTTCTTCAGGGAAAAGGGAAATGGGCCTTTTCTCCTGACTGATGGCTCTGAGGCTGTTACCTTGGCAACTACACAGGGCTTCTGGACTCCCAACAAATCGCAGAGCTGATTCCTGTGAGTCCGCACTGTGGCCAAATTGCTCTCCCTGAACAGAAACAAAGATGGCAACATGAATTTTGAAATTTATAGCTCAATACAGCTTTAATACACTGCTTTTCCCATCCACCCTGATACAATACAACAGTCATTCTGAGAAAAAGGGCAATGCAATCTTCTGGATGAGGCACTAAGAGAACCTCCCCCTGCTTTGAGATCTCTGAATAAGGGTCACTTTCAGGAACTGCAGGACTGTACATCCAGGCATAATTATGAGCAGGCTGCAATATTTTCATCAAGAATGATGCTTACAGCCGTAAAACATTTAGAATTATTTGCTAACAAGATGTTTCCTGGATACTGCATATTTTTCTCTTGCAAATCTAGAGAGACACAGTTTCAAGACATGCCATCATGGTCAGACCAACCCCTGTTTATAGATTACATTGCAAACAGACACACTTTCATTTATATTCCTTAAGAGGTTTGAATGTCTCAGTAATCCAGAAAAGTTTATCATTATGTCACAACGTATGGCTAACGAAAAAGTCTCTTCCAGTTTGACTTATGTATTTTCCCCAGCGAGCCAGCAGCAAGGGCAGAGACACTAGGCTGTGGAAGATGGACTGTTTATCTGCTGAGTGCCTCTGCTGTACGACTGGCCTGTAGCTCCAGCAGCATCAAGCATCAAGGTTTCAGCTATTCTTAACACTGTGTCTGTGACTTATGAATTAGCACAGGCCATCACTGTCATTACATGCCATCTTCTCGTTTCTTTGAACTATGAAAGTTTATTAGAAGCAAAAGTGTGAGTTCTTTTATGTCTGGTTTAAGGTAAAGACTGGTGCAGTCTTTAATGACTTAGATCACTTAGGTCTCCCCCAAAATCCCTGCTCATGGCACAGCTGCAGCTTCAAATCACATAAATCACAAATCATATAAAATTGCTGAATTCAAAATTACCCAGAAGTAAACATGACAAAAGTGTGAAATCGTGCAGTGACCAAGATAAACCTCAGTCCCTGTGTGTGTCTCTCCCAGTCCTATGGGCTACTCACCAGTTTGTGTCGCTAAGCAAGGTCATGATCTCGTCCATCACTGCTGGATCGATGACATCATCATAGGTCAACAGCATCTCGTACACCTCACTGGCGGTGGTCTTGCGAATCTGTGGGGACCATCAGGGGGTCAATTCAGTACCGAGAGGTGCAATCCACACTCCTTCATCATGAGCACCTGCAGAAATGCCTTGTTACACTGAAATACAGTATAGTAAAACATTTCACCTTGAAATATTGACACTTAGCAGTGACGTTTGCAGCAATATAACCATTTCAGGAACTGTACAGCAAACGTAAAGCACTGGAATTATTAAGTGAAAATAATACAAGAACCCTAATTTTTACAGATAGGCTGGATGGCTCAGATCAGCCAGCTGTTGTTACTCATAACCTTGGAGATGTGCCTGGTATATGTGTTTGTTGCATTGTTTCAGTGCTAGTGAGAACTGTTAGAACAAAATGCATTATTTGTATTATTTGTCTGCATACTTCAGATGAAAAGAAAGAGCTGGGGATGCTGTACTGCTGCTGCTGGGCTCACAGACAGTGGAGCAAGAGAGTGGGCCCTCACTCAGGACGGACCCAGACAGCTGACATCACTTCCTCTCACTGGTGTTGCTGTTGGCACCACAGCAGTGAGAACAGGATTGAAGACAAAGCAGACAGCGTGATGAATTTGTCTGTATTTTTTCTGTCAATAACAATTGTTTGTCTGTACAGTACAGTACATCAAAATAGTTTAAACGCAGCTGGGATTCTACATACAGTACACCCTCTTGCCTTAAACACTACAGACACAATCCTTCTTGTTTTCAGTGAAAACAGAGCTCTTGGCTGTGCCCCGTGTAAGCACTAAAGGCAGCATTAAAGCTGTGTCTTAACATGGAGATAAATGTTGATGTAGATAAATGAGAATGAAAAACAATAAATATGAAATACAAGTGTGGCTGACAACTGATTAGAAAGGAGCCCTGCCAACACTTGCTGATGCTCTCTCACCAATGACAGTGAAAAGAACAAATATTTGTTCATCATTAGGAGGATCCATGTTCTAAATGTGTGGTCACTGACTGTTCAAAGCTGCTTAAAGACCTGTAGGACCAGAGCTGCAGGCTCGTACAGCTGCAGTGCTTGGCACAGGCTAGGTGGCAGAGGAGAGGAGGCCATGCCACCCTCTGTGCTTGTATGACCTCCAGCTCGAGGTTGTCTAGCTGCTGTCTTCTATTGGACTTCTTGGAGCTCTTCGATCTAGATCAAATGCGACTACATAAGCATAAGTCTGCAGACCAACACCAGGACAGCGAAAGAGGTTAATCAAAGTCATCAGATGCAACATGGTCTGATCAGCTGTGTCACAGCAGTTGAGTGCCCTGAGTCCCCAAGGCCTTTTCAGAACAACAACAGACCGGCCGGTGAAACCCTGACTCACCGCACCTGATCTTCTCATCAATCTTCTCTGCCAGCCTGTGGCCTATGCTGCACGATGCCCCCTTGACTAGGGGGACCTTATGGCTTTGTGTTTGGTGGGCCACTTTGAGACAGGATGGCATTCTAAAACTGACATTAAAATCTTTCAATTTAAGGGCAGTTTTAGAATCCTATCTTGTCTCAAAGTGGCCCACTGAACACACAGTTACAGGAGACTCACCACAGGGAAGGGGTGGCACAGCAGCATCAGCAGCTGGAACAGAACCTTCTTCCTGATGTCCCCCTGGAACTGGATCAGCCCACAGAACCTGAAGAAAAGAAAAAGTGATGAGGAACCTGTGTTCATGCACAGCAGCTGCGGTGGGATGTGTTGCTGAGTCTTATTTGCACCCTACAAACAAACCGGCTCAGACCACTTATCAAAGACCTCCAGCTGCTTACAGTCAAATATTCTCTAATCACACAATGAGGCACAGTGAATGTGTGGGCTGTTTCAGGGCTGTGTTACAGCCTTTGTCGTGGGGCCGAATTGTTAAGGATTAAAACTCTTTTAATTCAAATATTCAAGTGGGATAACACAGAAGATCCAGGATATACAAACATATAACTTCAAAAGTAAACTGTTTTTTCATGTTAAAGTGATCTCAGGATGACAAAAATACTCACACAGCAATGCTGGACCTCAGCTTTTGGACGTCCTTGGATTTCTTTATCTCTTCTTTACAGAGTGCAAGCAGGTCAGCACAGAACCTGTGACTGCAAGACGAGACAGACAAAGAGCTGCAAGGATGGCTTCTGTATCACCTGTGGACACCAGGTACCCTCAGGGCCCTAGTACAGTGCCCACTTATGGGATTGCTGGACACCAGTTACCACTGACACAGTGCCCAGTCACTGGACAGCTTACACCCAGCTGCTCTAACACTCAGGATCACTGCAACACTGCAGCAATTTCCCACATATAGAGTTGGCAAGGGTGTGATACAACATAGCAAACCATGGCCACTACCTCACAACATGAATTTAAATGAAAAAAATTACACAGATTTAATCCCATTCCAAGGGGATTGTTAACTGCATGGCAATTTAAAAAAAAAAGAGCTGCCAGTTTTTCCTACACATATATACAGTCGATTCAAGTATCAATACTTTATTGCCATGTCAGCAAAGCTGACTGGAATTTGCCCCAGCGCAGCCCAGATTAAAAAAACCCAAAACATATTATATTTATTCAACACATATTTATATTCACTCCCATATAATAGTTCCAACATCCAAGATCTACGTATATGACTAATCTATATCTACGTCTACGTATATCTACGTATATGACTAATGGCCTCTCTAGACTATTAGTCTAGTACTATTCTAGCGGTGATCCAAAACTACAGAAGTGGGTTGAATGTGGTGAATTATTTTTCCCTACAACAACTTCAATAAGTTTTTATCAGCAAATCACATGGGAACCTTCAGCCTTCTCTTTGTCTGCAGAGCCCACAATTTTAGGCCAGGTACCAGGGTTGTGGCTTTGACAAAGTCCCCAGCCTAGTTCTGATTCTACAAACAGTTGTGAGCAGCAGATGAGAGACATTTCTAAAAGAAATTAATCTCATGACTTGTTAAATTACTCACAATGAGACTTGATTCAATTAACACTGCCCCCTGTTTGCACAATCATTTCATTAACTCCTGTAACTTCATACACTGTCTGATTTTATCTGCTAATAGTTTCCACATTACACGGCTCTTTCCCTCTCTCTGAAAGACTTCACAGTTTGACAGTTTCCTTTTTTTCAAACAGAAGAAGTTGGAAACTACTACATTACCTGACATTTTAAATTCCTTTGACAATGTTGACATTAGGCCGGAGCACAGCACAAAGAGGCTGATTCTTGGACGCATCTGGAATTACTTTAAAGAGCACTGCCCTGCACACAGCACCCTGTGGCTGCAGGCTGCCTCTCATTCCATCAGCTGCCTGACACATATGGCCCAAACAAATGGAGCCAGCCTGTGCTGCTTTCAATATATATCAAATGGCCTTCCCCTCTAACAGCAATTGGGCAAATTCCATGTGCCGTTTAAGCTTGAACACAATCAAAACAGAGGTGGTCCTCTGGGGAAAGAGATCAGTCGTGCATTCATCTAAAATGTGAATGGGGCACACGTGTCTGACTGTAGCATGTTTTCCTTAGAAGAGGTGAGACACGTTTCAAGGAGACGAACCCTGACAAGAGGCAGGGTGGTCCAGGGATCTGGAGAGACAGAGCTGGCTCTGTGCTGCAGGAGGGGTGAGAGGGCAGCGTTTCACCTTCTCTGGCCCTGTGGGCACGAGGAACATGTGGGGTTTTAAAACGCCCTGTTTGGACTGGTTCAGTGGTTTAATGATTAGGTCTCTAAAATCCTTGTATTTTAAAATTGAGAAAATAAAATTTTATATCATACACAAGCTTTACAAAAGCAATCTTCAGATAATCCAACATGTCACCATTATTTTTTATTGGAAACTGTTATAATATAAAAGAATAGTATTTACTTATGCTTACAAAAAAACAAAAATAAACAATCTTGCCAACAAACAAATCCAGCTGGTATGCCAATCTATGTGGGGAGTCAGTAATTCACTTTACTCATACCTGTCTGTTCTGACCTTCGAAAGCATGCAGGTGATGTCCATTTGCAAATTAATAAAAAAAATATATAATTCAAATACAGACTTACTTTTCTTCTGCTGTGAAAATGTCAAAACAACCATTGGCTAACATCTGGTCCAGCATCTTCAGCAGAGGGATGGACACACTGCCATAGGAAACACAAGGGTATCACTGAGAGCCCCACTCTCCTCTGCGCTGCGCTGTAAGAGAGCCCCACTCTCCTGCTTCCTGCGCTGTTAGAGAGCCCCGCTCTCCTCTGCCCTGCGCTGTTAGAGAGCCCCGCTCTCCTCTGTGCTGTTAGAGAGCCCCACTCTCCTCTGCGCTGTTAGAGAGCCCTGCTCTCCTCTCCTCTGCGCTGTTAGAGAGCCCCGCTCTCCTCTCCTCTGCGCTGTTAGAGAGCCCCGCTCTCCTCTGTGCTGTTAGAGAGCCCCACTATCCTCTCCTCTGCGTTGTAAGAGAGCCCCACTCTTCTCTCCTCTGCGCTGCGCTGTTAGAGAGCCCCACTATTGTCTCCTCTGCGCTGTTAGAGAGCCCCGCTCTCCTCTGCCCTGCGCTGTTAGAGAGCCCCGCTCTCCTCTGC